GCTAAAGAAGAAATTGCGCAAATTGCATTATGTATTTGTCACAAAAGATGAAGGATGAAGGCGGAGCTCACGTCTTGATAACTCTTTACTTATTGCTGCTATGCTTGATATGTACTGCAACCAGGTCACTTGAATTGACTGGTAACAGACAATAAGTAAAGAATTTTAAAACCTCATCAAAGAGAGGACAACCTTTATCTTCTGTGACAAGTGACATAATGCAATTTGAACATTATCTGCTCCAGCTTCCTTAATTTGGGAAACATGTAGAGAGATGTGAAGCTTTAACTGTCTAAGTTAGGACATACATTGCACTTCTTCTTAAATCGATTTAGTGTTTCCCTTATAGTTGAGTAAAAAGTCCGGCCTTAAATAGACACGGTAACGGGAAACAACAAGGTCCCATTGACCACATGACATAATTATTTATAAAATATGAATAAATGTTTACCCCCCATTGGACGTGCGCACAGAAATGTATGAAGTATGTTAAGATAAGTGGACACGTTTTTGCATTTCATCAGCTTTTATAAGACGATATTAATGAGGAAAAAAAATAGAGATATCTACCTGATGTACATTCATAGTTGGAAGTATTAAATGATATAAACAGGTCCGTTCAAGATTTCTTCAAGATATCCAATTTGCAAGAAAATGATATGGTTTATCAAAGTTCGATTGTTTTACTCGAGCATGGAGGAATTACTCAATCGATTGAGGAACTTGAAAATGGAACGTATGAATGTACAATATGGATCCTAACTTATTAGATGGTTAAAGCATCACATACATCTCTTAACACTTCTCCTAGAAAAAGGGAGCTAAAGAAGATTTGCTCAAATTGCATTAGATCTTTTGTTACAAAAGATAAAGGGTAAAGGCTATTCTCTCTTTTAAGAGGTTTCACAATTCTTTATTATTTTTTGTTAAACTTGATATACATTGCAATCAAGTCATATGAGTTTTTCGTTAGCACATGTGGTATAGCTGGAATGTTGTAAATCAATTATCTATGAATTGTTGCCACATTATTATTATTCAAGGTGGATTTGTAGCATTTGGCATGATAAATATGGCAGCAAGTCAAAGATAATGATTTATAGCATTTCAGCTATACCTTACATATGCTAAAAGATAATTCAAGTAACTTGATTACACTGTATATCAAGCATAGCGACATTAAGTAAAGAATTATTAAACCTCATGCAAGAGAGGACATCATTCATCCTTCATCTTTGTTGACAAAAGATTTAATCCAATTTGAGTGACATCTTCTTCAACTTTCTTTTTCTAGTGGAACATGTTGGGAGATGTGAAGCTTTAACCATCTAAGTTAGATTGCACATTCGCACTCCTATCTTCATCTTCCTTAATCGATAGAGTGGTCTCCATATAGTCGAGTAAAAGTGTCAGCTCTTCGATAGACACAACGCCGAGAAAATTAACCTAAACAACAGATAAGACACCAGGAACAAATGGAGAAATCAACAAGGTCCCATTGACCACATGATAGGAACATCTAAATAATCATAATCAAATGTAGACTTCCTCTGGACATGCGCACAGAACCGACTGAATTACTTTAACAACCATAAAAAAGGCACGTTCTTGCACTTCAGCTTTTGGAAGACAGATATTATTGAGGAGAAAAGGCATAAATATCCACATGTTGTACATTCATCGTTGGAAAGTCTTAAATGAATTAATCGGTTTAATCAAGGTTTATTCATGATATTTATTTTGCATGCAGCCATTATTTACAGCATTTCAGTCATGCCACGCATCCAAACATACAATTCAAGTGACTCGATTGCAATGTATATTAAGCGTAGCAGCAATTGGTAAAGAATAATGAGACCTTATGAAATAGGGGACAGCCTTCGTCCTTCATCGTTTGCGACAAAAGATCTAGCGCAATTCGAAAGAATCCGTATCAAAAGTTATCAAGACAAATTATACGAAAGAATAAAAAACACATCAAATAAAAGTAAAGCACCATTTTCCTGACTATCGGAATAAATGCCGTAAGCTGCAAAGGAGGTACGAAATTTTCTTATTATATGTGAAGTTACGGATGAGTCTCTTTTTACTCATTGTTATATCATTTTTCCTGGTTCACCTCTTGGATTTAACAAAATCAATTTTGTTTTTCTCGAATATCCACCATCAAATGCAAGGTCCTTTCTATATATTCCCATGTAGAGGCATATTTAGAGAGACTTGAAAAGTCGTAAATGTATTGCACTTGTACCAATTGAGTACTAAACTTTTTAATTGTGATAGTTGAGTCATAAACATTTTCATGTCCGGCCAATTTAGTTCATTCGGCAAATTTTGGCCGAAATACGCTGATGTGGATAACGGCCATCCTACGTGGCAAGGCCGGTGCTGATGTGGACTTTTAAAATAATTTTTTTTTATTTTTTTCTTTTATTTTCTTTACTTTTTCTTTTATTTTTCTTGGACTTAGGATGAGCGAGGGTCAAGATGCCCTCGCTGGCACTAGCCAGGTGAGGGCATCGCGGTCCTCGTTGGGTCACGCTCTTGCCCGGGGCCGCCGAGGGTCACGACAACCTTGTCAAATTTGAGCGGGCGAGGCCGTCGTGGCCCTCACCTAGACCTGGTGAGGGCCATGACACCCCTTGCTTCGGGCCGACTAAGGCATCCTAGCCCTAAGTCTAAGGAAAAAAAGAAAAACAAAAGACAAAAGAAAAAAGAAAAAAATTACAAAAAATTATTAAAATATCATTAAAAAGGTCTATGTTAGCTCCGATCGTGTCACCTAGGATGGCCAGCGTTCATGTTTGCGATTTCTAGTCAAAATTGTCCGAATTGATTTAATTGGCAAAACGTAAAAAATGTTTAGAACTAAATTGATGCAATAGAAAAGTTTAGGACTGAATTGATACAAATATAATAGATCCTAAAATTACTCGAATTTTCCGTGGTATCATTCTTGTTATCAACAAGATTCACTGTAAGGAAGTTCTTGAAACAAAGTGAGTAAAGTCAAAGGCCAAAAGTCAACTATTCGAATGAATAGAGTGTTACAAATGACTGTTCGATCCTATACGAGCACAGCGGGCCATGCATTAAGATGCGGAAAAAACTCGAGCCATTTTAAATCGTCCGGAGAAACCAGGATACATAGGGCACATTATGGAAAACGGAACGAAGGGAAGCTAAGTTGAAGCCGGTTACAGACCCCAAAATTAGGGAAATATTTAAGCTATAAATGATCATTAACATTAATTTCTTTAGGGATAATTACACAAGTGGTTTATGAACTTTGTCCCTATATGTAATGTGACCCTTGAATTTTAATCTAATGTGCAATGTGGCCATTGAATTTTAACCTAATGTATAATGTGGTTTCTAACTTTTAATTTGTTTAATGTGATCCTTGAACTTTTGGTAAATATTCAATTTAGTCCCCGAGTCATTACATCTCTGTATTTAATCAAGTCTCTGGATAAATTAAACGTGTATCAAAAGTTCATAGACCATATTAAATACTAAGTTTAGAGAGTATTTGTGTCATTCATCTATTTCTTTACAAAGAGCAAGTAAAAGGGAAGGAGGGGGACCAAAAGAGAAGGCAAGAAGACATACGCGAAGGAGAGTAGAAAACCTGAGCTTGCACTAGAGCTTGACTTATGATACCGGTCACCTTCAATTTTTCCTTTCTTTCTCATTTTCCTATGGCCTGAGAAACTGCATTTTTGGTGCGCTAGATGGACCAAATTGAACTGTTTACGTTCAACATGCGATGCAAATTAATAAAAAGAAGGCACCTATTTTCTACACATCTTTTGAAAAAAGAGAGGATACAATCACAAAAGAATATGGACACCACAAATGCCATAAATTTTATATAGCACTTACTTGAGTGCTTTACTTTTAAAAAACTTTTGCTTGAGTGCCGCAATTTTTTAAGAAGGTTCGCTGAAGTGGCGGAAATCCGATGTGGCATTGTGGTGAACGCATTTGAAAAGTTATAACACTTAAGTGATCGATCGAAAAGTTATTTCGTATTCAAGTGATTAGAAAAAAAAAGTTTTAATACTCAAGTAAACGTCATACATAATTTATGGTACTCAAGTGATCGGATAAAAAAATTATGAAACTCAAGTGAGAAATTCGTACGAAAGTTCTGACATCTGTTATGTCTTTTTCTCCGATCACAATTAAATCAAGTTACTTATCAATAGTACTAAACAAATTATTTGATTAAACGTAAAAGCAAAAACGATCATACACGAAGCTCTTTCAGCAGTATTGTTTGGGATTAAAAATCAACCAATAATAGTCAGACTTTAGAAATAAAAATCTTTCATTTGATAGTATAGAGCAATCTTAGGTAAGAAAGATTTACTTGGTGAGATTAAATTGCAAACCTCATTTAGTCAAAAAGAAAATATATATTTATTTATGCACTAAATTTATCGGCTTAGTTCTTTTTTATCGGTTTCCGAAGTTATAAACCAAAACCAAACCGATAAAAAAAATTCTAAACTAGAACCAACCCGACAAATCCATAAGCCGACCTTACTGCTTCTCGGATTGGGCTCCGTTTGTTTCGCGGGTAACTCAAGATTTGGAAAACATTTTCCAAAATAAATGATCAGTTATATCGCTTAGAAAAATAAGCCAATGAAAAAAATTTCATCATTGACAACAATTAATACTTCGACTACTTTCATAGATGATGAAAATATTTTTCATTTATTTATTTTTACAAGAAATACAAGCAATTATTTTTTCGGAGCACGTTTCCCAAATCACGAGTTTCCCGCGAAACAAATGGAGTCCTTAATTCAATTCGGTTCGGTTCGGTTTATCGATTTTGGATTACGGTTAAACTTGACCCGAAAAGTAAAACCCTGAAAAGGGCCTCAAGCCTTAAACCCATCTTCCCCCCACCAAGGCCCACGAGCGAACGGAGCTGAGCAGGCGCCTCCCATGGCGTCATCACCCTAAAGCTCGAGCGCAGACAGGACTCACTGACGAGAGCGATCAGAAGAGCGCGCGTGCGGTTGTTGTTCGAGCGTCGCGCGCGGCGGAGGAGTAGTTTCGGAAGAGCCGGGAATCGCTGAAGCCTTTTGGAGCTCCGATCGGCGGCGGCCGGTTCCGAGGGGACTGTGAAGGGGTTCTAGGTGGAGATCGGATTCCGAGCGGGGGGAAGATGCCTCAGGTGAAGATAATCGCCAGGAACTTCATGGACATGGTCGCGGCCCTGCCCGCCATGAAGCTCGACCATCTTTACCAGAACGCCTTCATCTGCGAAGCGATTCTCAGGTGTCTCTCTCTCTCTCCCTCTCTCTCCCTGCAGTGTTTTCCGTCCTCTGCTGTGCAGCAGAGCGACCGTCCGTGTTCGTTGGGATTCTATCATTTGGGCCGCCGAGAACGAACTCGAACGAATAGGAGATCGACAGCTTCTGGGTGATCGCAAACAGTAGTTAGCTCCATTGGAGCTGTGCTTTAAATGCCATTTTAATCACGTCATTGCAGACTAGTGAGCATTGAGCATCCTATACGCTGGTGTACACTGTAAAAAAAAAAGAAAAAAAGGCCAACTTAAGCTTTCGAATGTCAGTGCGATGCCCGTGTTGCATAAGAATGAAGACAATTTTGACGAAGGGTGTTGCAAGCCGCCGTGTAATTTCCGTCTTATTTGCGCACAGGTCGTTGCCCCCTTTGGCGAAGAAGTACGTGGTACAAATGTTGTACATCGAAGAGGCAGTGACGGCCAAGTCAATGGAGGAGTGGGTAGTTCCAGATGGAATCTCCAAGCATAAAGTTGCGATTGACCGGTTGCTGCAGTTGAGGATTTTCTCCGAGACATTCGACAGGTAAATGGGTCCTCTGTTCAATTTTCTCTACGTAACTGTTTGACCGAGGGTTGTATATTACTCCGAAATGTGCTCTTCGGTGGATTGTATGTTTAACTTTATAGATATATTCCTATTGTAGCAATAAAGAACAGTTGGAGAAGTGGGAAGTTTGACACTCCAATGATAAGAATTTTAGCTTCCTTATGTTAGTTCTTTATCTTTAAGCTAGTTCTCTCCTTCTTGGATTGAAGGGAACTTTTATACGCCTACTCATGTTTTAATATGTCGAGCTGAAAGGGAAGTAGATAGTGCGAAGGTGCGGCCTTTTTGGGTAGAAATACCTTTTCTGGTCCTTCTTTTGCATCTGTAGCTTTGTAAACCCTACAAACAAATTAAGACGTCTAGGATAAGTACAGTAGTTGGTAACTATATGCTTCTTCAGTGTGCGAAATAGGAAAATGCTTGTCCGCAGTTTCCATATATATTGCTGATGTAATTGCCTCATAAGCTGCTTGTTATAAATGGCTTCCGCTGCATAAGTTTTAGTAGAAAGTTGTTCAAGCAATTTTTAGTTCTTCATATCTACTAAGCATGTGTTTTCGTATAAGCATCTTTTCTTTGCGGTTGTTCACTTCCTCCATTATGTTGCAAAAAATCTGCATGCACACTGGAAACAGAAATTTATTTTGGTTTTTCCTTGGATTTTTGCATGTCAATTTTCTTGTTTGTGCTACATCCTATACCTATTGACATTGGACGTGGTTCAGAGATGCATTGTTAATCGCCTCTCTTTTTTTGGTTGTGAGGGTAATCAGAATAAGCATTTGTGCTTTGTGGAAATTCAAGAGAGAATTTTGTAAACTTTTTTATTGTATTCTTACTATGTCAGTTTCTGAATTTAAAATTGTAATGGCAGAAGTAGTGGTACCAGCTACAGCCTAAATCCAACCTTTCAGACTAACCTCCAGAAACACATAACCTGTGGGTAAGTTACAGATTCGTTTGTGGCTTCTAGTTCTTTCATTTATTTTCTTTTGGGATCTAGTGGGATAGAGAGGAGTGATGCTTTTTTTGAATTTATCTTGGGTAATATGTGGCTCGTGTTTGCATTGAGACATCAGTATGTTTCAAGATTTTGTTGAGAACTCAACCTTTTGTCAAGTAGCACTTGAAGCCTGATGACGAGATATGATTTTTGTTGTATAGCTTCTGCTGGAATTTCTATTTATCATACATTGCAGAAAAATGAAAAACTATGCAATGTTTCACCGGTTGTGGATCGCCAATTTGACATATACCCTTAAGCATTCATTTTGATTTAAGTCAGACTGATGAAAGCTATAATACATAGATCCTTTTTTGCGTTTTATCTTGTTCCTACCTAATTAATGATCATATAGTCCCCCCTTTTTGTCTTGTATATCACTTTTTTTGCCTTTACCAATAGAAGAGCATGCTATCACATGTATGCTAGCATGTCTTTGCTTCTGTTTTTCCTCATATTACTGCATCAAATCATGGCTAAAGATGGATAGATACATTTAGTAATGATACATATTAATAGATCATCTTGGTAAGGCGTATTTATGGCCTTAGATTTCTTGGGATATCTTCTGTCACCGGGTATTTTTCCTTAAATTGTCAAATATTGGACTTCAGCTTAGTTCATGAGTTGTTTTTCTTGACACAATCCTTAGTGCATGACTGAAAGTTGAACCATGCAGAGGAGTTTTGCCAAGGGAACCAATGCCATTAAACGTCACTGCCAGGCTCCCAAGCTTGGAGGATCTCGAGGCCTATGCTCTTGAACAATGGGAGGTGCGAATGTTCTTTTTCTCCTTCTTCTTTTTGGGTCTTTCTTCTTCTTCCAGATGGCTGCATTAACTCTTCGTAGAGTCTTGCTCTCATCCTTTGACTGAATTTATCAGATCAGTTAGCCACCATTGATTGGTTTTGTTTCTTCATTTTTTTTACTCTTTCATGAAGCTTCAATTGTGATAAAACAGTGTTTTCTTCTGCAACTTATAAACTCAGCCCAAGCTGAAAAGATGACGAATATAAGCCCTTCTATGATGAGAATCTTCCAAAGGGGACTTCTAACTCAGAGGTTGTTTATTTCTCTTTACATATGTAATATGGTTGGAGGTCTATTTGGATGGTTGGGAATCTGGTTGATTGGTGACTTGTCTGTGCCATTTCTACAGGGACAAAGAACCTCCTAGGTTAACTGAGAGTGGCTTCCAGTTCTTGGTACGCATAAAAGAATCATGACCCACTTTTAAATCCGTTGGCATATTCTTTAACATGAGTTGTTTCGTGTGAACTGCAGTTGATGGATACAAATGCACAACTTTGGTACATCATCAGAGAATACATATCAAATTCTGAGGTATGATTGTATAATGAATCTTATTCATATATGTAATCCACCTTATTCCTTTTATTTCTTCTTTACGTGACCAATGATAATTCTCCTTTTCAGTCATTCCTTGAAGCTCATGTTCATGAAATAAGAATAACTCGAGTTATTGGCTGATTCTAAAGGGATTTTAGCTATTCAATAGCATAAATCTTGATTGACTCTATAATGACGCATTTTCAGAGCTCTGTGAAGTTATTAAAAAACTCTGTCGGTGACTGCTTGCATTTGGATATTGTTTGTCTTAGCGGAATTTGTGATCCTAATGTAGTGGGTGTACGGGCTCTTGAAAATTCACATCTTGATCAAAATGGTTCCAGGAGTTGAGGCCATTGATACATATACGTCTTCTAGCTTCTTCACAAGTATAGTTAGGGGGTCCATTATTGCAGTGGCAAGTTTAGAGTCGGAGTAATTGGAGATAATACCCTCCTTTCTGTGGAAGTTCAAAGTAGAAACTTTTCTCGTCTCACCAGCGTCACTGGTTTAAAGGATTGAGAGTGTAGTGCTGTCTGGTGGAATCACAGAAGAGCGTAAGGGGGTCTCAACTTGCTTATCCTGTCAACTCTTCTTAGTGGTGTTGAGCTTTAAGTCCGAGGTATCTTAAAGCATTACCTACAGCTATAGCCTCCTTTTCATCTTTCATCACAGGCCTTTCTTTCTCATGAAAGAGTAATGCCTGACAACCTGACAGTTTGTTGATTTTTTGGTAAAAAACACTTTGCTGACAGAAATTGCATTTTACAGAGATCACATGTTCATTTATTTGCAGTATCTGCCTCTCTCTTTCTCAATGGAGTCGCAATTTGGTGCAGGAGCGAGATGTAGATTCAGCCGATCTAATTTCATTTCTGCTCGAGCTTAGTTTTCACGTAACGGGAGAGGTACAGTAGTTTGCATCTGTTATGTTCATGCACAAGGTTTCACAGGAGATAAGTTTTCTATGAGATAAATCTCTTCAGGTTGTGAAATGTTTGCCTGAAAAGCTTGCTTTGGTGACTCACCGTGACTCTGTCATGCTTGTCGAATGTGTGCTAGGCATATAACATGAATACATTGACTGAAGTCCAGAGGAACACACTCAAGGACCTTGCTGACTTGGGCTTAGTCAAACTTCAACAGGTATGGCAGCTCTTTATTTCTCTTTTATTGGTGCAAGATGTAGTGCGTGCTTTTTGAATAAAACCTTTTAACAGATTTATTGCTATTTTTATCTGTATATTCCCAGGGAAGAAAAGATAGTTGGTTCATACCAACCAAATTAGCTACTAATCTCTCCGTGAGTTTGACTGATTCGTCATCCCGAAAACAGGTATTCCTTTGCATATCTGATATGAATGTAGGCACTATGTTTTTGTTCTTTAGTTTGCAAACAGTAGCTTCTTTGTTGATTCGTGGAAAGATGTCATTCCTTTTGCTATGTCTTCTATAATTCAACATCGCACAACCATAATTCAACAACTGAATACTCGTTTGACGACCACCCCTTGAATTGCTAATTGCTTTATTGATTGATTAACTGTTGCTAATAGTTCAGGCCAGGTCTCAAGGACAGTAATTGGAAGACATGCCTTTTTTCAGTTGCAAACATTAGACAAACCCTAGACCTTTTTTTACCTGAATGTTTTTTTACCACTTGTGGAAGGGCTTTGGATTTTGTCCAAATGCTGCCACTGATCTATTATGCCTTAAGAACTTTTATGTTCTCAAATTGAAATTTGAACCACTATTACTTTTGGAAGTTCCATGTATTCTCCGTTGGGAGATTAGACCTCCAGTATTATGCATGTTATGCTGTTAAATTTTTAATTTGGTTTGTTCTCTCTGCAGGGATTTGTTGTTGTGGAAACAAATTTTAGGATGTACGCATACTCGACATCTAAGTTACATTGTGAAATTCTGCGACTTTTCTCAAGGTATGGTCATAAACAAGTTGGATTACCAGATGGAAAGAGACTGGGCTTGAGTAAGCATGCGAAATACAAATGAAAGAGGCTGTCTAGGTGGAGACCATTTTTTTTAAAGCAATAGCAGTCTTAGAGTGTCAGACATAATTGCATCATGATCAAGACGATTACATTCAGTTGAAATTGCGCCACTGGTTACTTTTATTCCATATTAATGTTTTTCCTCATCTCAATCTCTGCCTGCTACCTTCTTTCCACCTTTTCTGTTCTGTCTGTCATGGAAGTTTCTGATCTCATTTTGTCACCATTTGAATTGTCGAGCGTTACATGGGCTGGAAGCCTGCAATCTTTCTGGGAAAAGGAATCAATCTTCATTGTCTTTCCTTTAGGGCCCTGGGGCCAATATGCTTATCTACAGCTCAGTACGCAGAAACCCAAATCTTAAATTATGTTTTACTTAAGGTGTTCATGCGAAGCAGCACTTGATCTACTTCCTTTAATGTTGCTGGATCCCTTGTGGGCAAATCCAGTGAAGTAGGTCTTGAGTTCAAGATGACAAGCATTATATTACTCGTGATTATCTATCTTTTATTACAGGAGAACTTTCTTTTCAAAGCTACAATCTCGTTCGCACTCTTGTAATATAAGACTGACTAACGTCTGCATGGAATTAATGATAATTGTTTTGGGCAAATTTTTATATTTTTATTATAGTTCAATTGAAACCTGTCACGATATAATTTTTTGCACTTGTCCTAAATTTGAGAACTTGACATTTGTGTGGTTTTGTAATAGATGGGAAAGCAAGCAACTTATGGCCCCTTCAGACATAGTCTCTCATAAAATAGATTCTTAGAATCTCAGGGTTCCAATATTTGTTTTATTTGAGGATAGAATCAAACTGCATGTCTTCTTAGCACGGTGCTAAAAGGGGTAAAAGGAATATGAAGATTATATCCTGGCCAATGAGTCCTTAGATGTCAATCAGCAAGGTACAGAATGAACTATTAGATGTTTGCTTGATCCCACATGACACAAAAGCGGTACCCAGAATAGACTGCCATTTTTATTGCTTGTCATTTGCACACAGTTTTACTCTCTCTCTCTCTCAAGTCATCTGTTCAATGCTATGGGTCAATTCTCTTTACTTCTCATAATATCTTTGATCTTCACCATTTAGTTCTGCATTCTGCAAACTTATTTCTGGTTGTCACCAACTGCGGAGGTACTAATAGAATGCTTATATTGCAGAATTGAGTATCAGCTCCCAAACCTTATAGTCGGGGCTATAACTAAAGAAAGCTTGTATAATGCATTTGAGAATGGGATCACATCAGAGCAGGTAAGTTTTAGTTGCTTAGTTGGGCAACTTTCATTTTTATGAAATTTTATGTGGACTATATAGTGTGAACATAATAATTGTTTCTGTAAGGACTTATTTCCTTCTTTGAGGCCCTATCATCGTGAGCGAATTTGACTGAGTTGCAAGGTTCCTGATTTCATGTGCCTGCTTTAATTTCATGGAGCTCCTTGCAAAGGCTTGCCTTGTGGATGATTGATACTTAGAAAGAGGCATCTGATGGTGTTACCGAGTTACTTAAAATCTACTGCTTTGTGAAAGCATATTTAGTTTTTGGCCTATTATGCTTGCTTGTATTGGGATTACCAATATCTCTTCAATTTTCTGATGATGAAATTTTTTGCTTTGACATCCATCATCAGTAATCCCATAGTGCTGTTGTACGCACCTGATTTAGATATTATGTCAATATCCTTCAAGAACAGACGCAGGCATAGCTTATCGTGGATGAATGTTTACATAATTGCATTTCTGTGAGAGGAAACTACCTGCCATTCATCAAATTTTTTTTTTTTTTCGTGTTGCAGATTATTTCTTTTCTCCAACAAAATGCGCATCCCCGTGTAGCAGAGAGAATACCATCTGTTCCCGAAAATGTTACAGATCAGGTCCAATCCTTAATTGACATTACTTTTTTCCTTCTTTTCTTAAAAAAGTATCATTGCATTTCATAAGGTTCAAGCAGGGAAGCATCAGCCACTCCCTGCTACAGGCTTTTATTAAGGTTCAATGAGACAGAACAGAATTAATTCACAAGTACTGTTTGCAAATGCTAACAGTGTTTTTAAAAGTAATTGACTGCTCTATGCATCAAAGTCCTCATTTCTGTACTTCATCTTACCTGTGGCTTTTAGTTCAGCAATCAACGTTAGGCAACTTTTGAGAATGAATTGTTTCATTTCTCATCTTGCATGTGGTATAGACGAGCAATCCAAACCATCCAATTTATGAGTTTGGAGTAGTCCATCCTTTAACCTTCTTAATCCGGCCAATTAATTCAGACTTGGATCTACTTGTTTCCTAACATTACCACATGGCTAGACATCTAGACCATACGAACTTTTTAGAAACATCCATTAAATAGAAGATGGTCGCCAGTTTCATCTTTCAAACAACATAACATACTTCCTTGAATGCTGCTACTTAATCTCCAGTACCTAGTCCATTTCAAATTGCATGCCAGGCAATTGACATAAGACAGTTCTTTCAGGTGTCAGTTATGTCCTGCTCCTATCAGTCATGCACCCATCCCACAAATGTTGATCACATCTCAGCTATCTGCTTTAGTCTTTTTTTCTTTTTAGCAGTTGAACTGAACTAGACTTCCAACTCAGGAAATGACTTGGTTATGTGCTTCTCAGTGAGGTACCCAGATTAGGTGTGTGACGTTTATGTGGTGACCACCCATGATTTTGAAGAACGACTACTTCAATATTATTAACTCATAGCTTATAATCTGTTCTTAAAACATCAATCCCGGTGTGCTCTTTCTGAAGTTTCTATAGATGGCAAAGCCATTTCCCATCTCATTTTCCAGGTTTTTGACAGATTAGATTGTGGGAATCAGATCTTAACCGGGTTGAGATGACTCCTGCACATTTCTATGATGAATTCCCTTCTCGGGTAAAAATCGATGAACTTCAAGTGATATCCTCATCGTCCAGTACTGGGATTATTTTTAAGGTTTGGTCTCTCTAATTCTGTAGGATGTCTTTGAGGGTGCCTGCGATTTTGCACGGGAGTACGGTGGTTTGTTGTGGGAGGATTCAAAGAAGATGAGGCTAGTAGTGAAGACAGATGTGCACATGCATATGAGAGAGCATCTTCGCCGCCAAAGGCAATGAGCCAGAACTTTATTGCTTATATGTGATTGAAGTTTGAGAGTGACATGTGAAGCAAATCTAATCCGACGACAGCCCCGATGGATGTGCTGAAAATAGATTGCGGAAATTATACTGTCACATTTCAGAATTGTTGATTTTGCTCCAATAAGCGTATAAGTGGATACACAAGATCAGCAAAACTGGGGAGCGATCTCAATTACAGTTGAAGATGATTGCAATTTGATGCCTCGCGATGATCGGGAAGGGAAAGCAGCATAAAAATTGTATAATCAGAGCTAGTGTAACATCATGAAGCGGGTTACTTAAGAAAACTTTGAGTCGACCTGTGAAGTTTTGAAAAAGGATAACTTATTTGATCATGTAAATGAGATTGAGGATGGTTCTCATAGCAATGGAAGGTGTGGATTGCTGTCATGTCTGCTGCGGTTGTGTTTAGATAAAGCTGAATGAAGTTTAATAGGGTAGCAACCAATATCCTTTGGCCGGTATCCGTCCTCTGTGTTCTGTTATTGCAATTTACTTCGGTAGCCATCAATGAGCATTTGAATTGATTGAAAAACCAAGACCAGTTAAAAAAATGTACAATCATACCGCTTTTGAATAATTAGAGCATGTCATTGATAAAGTTATCGAGCGTAGAAACTTTTGTGGTCGGAAGAAAATCTTTATTAGCCAAGAAATTAACAAGTGCTGACTAATCAACGATGTGGGGTTGCCCTTGAATTTAAAAAGCAACAAATCACTTTGAATCAGGAACCCTTGTTTAAAGCTCCAAATTACAATATACTTACGAAAGCTCTTAGCAGATCGCTGTGATTCAATAGCATTTCTCCCGACCCTTGAGGGAGCTTTTGCGGCTTGAGCTTTTCTATACCTTTTAGTCATAGTAGTTGATAATTTGATAAGGATTTGGCGCAGAAGCCATGAATCAACAAATTGACAGAGATAAGAACAGCTTCTTTGTTAATCTTTGCTTGGTGTTGTTTGGTAAGAGTTCTGAAATGCAACACAGAAATCGATTGGAATGCATAATGTGATAAGTCGGTCATACCTTGTTGGTTATACCACGTCAGTCAATCGTGAGACCATAAAACGAAGTACCTTTTCTTCTTTTGGCTTTGACTAGAATAAATGTAAGGAATGTCAAAATCATTGTCAAAGAGTTAACCATCAATTTTCACTTACCATTAGCAATAAGCTCAGACGTACAAACTCTCAGGGCCCAAAATCACAACTCGCTACAGTGCAAAAGTCAAAGGTTTCAAGTTCTTGGAACCAAATTCATGAAGTGTCCACCATAGCATGAGACAACCAAAGTGGTTCTTAGCATAACGATCTTCTAAAGAGAAATACCTGGAGCTAGCATCAGCCTGTCACACAAGTCAATGAAGCGGATACTCTCTACTAGAATGACTTGCGACTTGCCTTCGATATTTACACAAATGACTGACAGTTTTCACACAGAAAGTCTGAATAATACCGGTCCACCATTAGGAGTAAAATGGTAAACACGAAGATCTTATCTCATCACAAATATAAGGACTTTTTCAGCGCAGGTTTGCCCTTTGCCATCCCTATCTCAATGACAAGTGTGATAGAATCCAAAGGATACTCCCCAAAAAACCTCATATTCCGCGTGCCTCGTCAACATAAATCAATATATTATCTAATGTTTAAGTTAATCAATCAACAAATAACTCACTCTTTTCAGTCTATAGCTACATAAATACTAATTACTGAATTGTACATAATCATCGAAGAAAAATTGCAGTAACCAGTACAGAGAACAAAGAAGAGAGAAGCCAAGGTGAACCTATTCGGATTTCTTGGAAGTCGCCGATGGTTTCCTCTTCATTCGGCTGAAAGGCCCCACAGTGCAGTCCATTATATACATGTAAATGACCTGGCTCCAAGATTTATATGCATCGAGCCCCTCGTAATACTCCGGTGCAATCTCCTTCACCTTATGAAGTTTGCTTCCTGGAATCCTAGGGAAATCATGGTGCTCATTGTGGTATCCCACGCTCCACGTCATAAGATTCAGGGGACCATAGTAGGAATATGTCTCTTGGTCTGGCTTGAAAACATAGTGTTCCGAGATGAAGTGACCGGCCATTGGGTGCATTCCACCCCCGACAAATGTAGAAAGGATCAAATAAGCAAAAGACTTCCAACCCCAGTAATAAACCATGGATACATCGAGGGCTATCTGAATGACTAAATTGATGAACTCCCAAATACCAGGAGGTTTTGGCTTGAGAAACAGAGGCCGCAGAGCATAGAAGAAGAGTTGTAAGACTACCCATATGGATTTCGTGAAAGCATTTCTCACAAGATAGGCTTCAGCAAGGCTCGGAACGTCCATATCTATCCCATCAACTCCCTGGTAGCGATGGTGCTCCAGGTGATACTTTTGGAAGGTTACAGACATGGGAACACCAATGGGGAGATTAGCGAATATGCCAAGCCAGCGGTTGTATACCGGAGTTGAGAAGGCGAGATTGTGGCTGAGTTCATGGATGGCCAGAAAGAGATTGTGGTTGAGGAAAGAGCCAAAGAAATAGGAAATAACCAGAATCTTTAGCCAGCCCGCATCATGGAGCAAAGTAGCCGTTCCTAGCTGTAGCAGCACTGCGACAGTAATCTGCACAAAATGATAAAGACAATACATGAGATGATCAAAGTTAAAAGCCACAGCTGACGTATATTGCATGAATTGGCACGTTACTCCGTTTCATAAGCATATGCATTAAGGTGCTTTCAACAAGTCACATTCCCCAAAACATCTTAAAAGCGACCACCTTTCCACAAATCAGGATACTGTAGATTCGCCCGTGTTCTCTGGCTGTTTCTGATGCATACACAATTTTCCACAAGAAAAGAAATGATAGTATCACTGAAGTTACCAAAGACCAGTTATTTAAAATTTTCGATTCAGGGCAACAAAGGGCCAATTAGCTCATCTCATTACACCCCCTTAATAAATTATGAGATAAAAAGAATCGCAGAGCAGCATCCACAATCAGCAATGGAGGTGCAAAACTGAATTAGCCCTTTGTAATTAAATGCAAATGGATGAGAAACCCTTAACCAAACATAATTAAGGTTTTGCGAATATGACATAGGCCAAAAGCTCGAAAAAGAACTTCTTTCCTTTATTTTTCAAGAAAGCAACAGTAGAAAACATGCTAATCGAGATCTGCAAAAGAGGAAGACCCACAAGGGAATCACACTGGGGAATTTCTTCAAGCATTTCAAAAGGTGCGAATCTCCGCACCTACTCCGGACTAGGTGGATTCGGATGGTGACATCACATTCACTGATATGTACGCACGGAACGAAGCAAAACCAAGAGAAGAATCCACTGTAGCTCAGATTGAGACGGACAGCGACATGAGAAACACGAGCAAATCATCACCAAAAGAGACAATGCAAACGCAATGCGAGCGAAACCAACCCACTAACGACTCCTTTCCGCGGACGAATCAAGAACTTCCCACTTGAACGAGACCCGACCCAACCAAGAAAATCAAATCAAGCAGGCATTTTGAACGGCGAGGGACCGAACCTTGTGGAAGGCCCAGGGGTCGGGGCCGAAGAGCTGCTTGATCTGAGGGTACTGCGAGAGGATCTGCCGCCGCCGCGAAGCGTGGGGCTCGTCGGTGTAGGACCAGAAGAAGTCCGTCGCCATCACCCCCTCTTCTTGATCCTCCGCCGGCGCCGGCGCCACCGCCACCATCTCTCCTCTCCTCCTCTCCCTCTCTCCGTGCAGAGCCTCTCTGGGTTTTTCGGGGACGGGTGTTTTGGCTTCTGGGTCGACGCCTGGTGCGGGAGATATATCTCTTTATGCTGTTTCCGCCATTTCAGCTCCTGCGTTGGTCCCCATGGAAGATCGGGATCTGCCCACAAACCCGAAAAAGGTAAAAGGAAAAGGAATTCCAGTTGTGAAAATGAGCGGAAACGGACGTTGGAGATGCAATGACTCGCCAAGGCCAATCAAATTCAAAACTTGCCTCATGTTCTCTGTCTCTCTGTCTCTCTTTGTTTGACAGTTTGTACAGGCTGCTTAGCTGGATCAACTTGTCCTGAGCAGCAACATCTCATGCGGCAAAGGATTGTCCGAATCCATGGAAACTAGAAACGTCAAAATGGATCATGAATTTATTTATTAATTCATGTTTAATGGATTAAATTTTATTATATAAGTTGGTTATATTTAGTAAATGAGTTATAAATGGATTTAAAATGGTCTTAAATGAGTTCACAACTTATTTAAACCTAACCCACTTTTATGATTCTTTCTTCACTCTCTCTCGCTCTCACTCGATCTCGCGTCCGTTCACTCTGCGCTCTCACCTCAGTTTGGTTATGAGTTTTCCTACGTTAGGTTGAATATGTAAGTGCTTTAGCCATATAAATCGAGTCGGGTATGGGTCATCAGATTTGTATAGCATGAAAAATAGGTTATAACGGGTTAAATAAGTCAATTTGAATCGAGCTATTTTTGATCCGACCTATTTGTTTGGTAGGATTAATCAAAACTACTGATCATGTACGTCCGAATATTGTCATGCTATGAACTCGGGTCGGGTCTTGTTTGATTATCTCGATTTCTGGCTGCAGACATTGCTTTTTGATATTTTAAATTTCGGAAAAAGCATCTCAATTTTAACCGAATGATTGCTTACATAACTTTATTTTTATAAGGGTTAATAACACCAAAAACCCCAAACTGGTACGCATGTGACAATTTTACCCCGAACTTTCTTTTTGACTACCAAAAACCGCAAACTGGTACACTTGTGATAATTTTACCCCGAACTTTTTTTTTACCACAAAAAATCCTAAACTGGTACACCTCTGACAATTTTACCCCGAATTTATCACAAAAAACCCCAAACTGGTAAACCCGTAATAAATTTACCTTGAACTATTTTTTTTATCACGAAATACCCCAAACTGGTACACCCGTGATAATTTTACCCTGAACTAATAATTTTTTAATATTATTTTTTCTAATTTTTTTATTTTTTCTTTTCTTTTCTTTTTTCTTCATCTTCAACCTCTGGCCGGTCGCCGGCGACCGGCCAGAGGCGGAAGCCTACGAGGTCGGCCCCACCGGCCGCTGGCGAGGCTCGACCTCGCCGGCGCGAGTGAGGGCCGCCTCTCTCGACTCGGCGAGGCGGCCCTCGCCGACGTAGGCGAGGTCGCCCTCGCCCGGATCCGAGAGGCGGCCCTCGCCGGCGTCAGCGACCCTCGCCGGCGTCGGGCGGCCCTCGCCGGATACGAGGCGAGGGCGACCCTACACTGCGTCGAGCGGGGCCGCTCGCCGCGCGAGGGCGGCCCTCGCCCGGCCGAACGGCAGGCGGCCTCGCCGCCCAGCCTGCTGCCGGTCGCCGGGACCGGCGACCGGCCGTGAGGTTGAAGATGAAGAAAAAAAAAACAAAAGAAAAGAAAAAATAAAAAAATTCAAAAAAATAAAAAATAATATTAAAAATTTAGTTCATGGTAAAATTGTCACATATGTACAAGTTTTGGGTTTTTTGTGATAAGTTCAGGGTAAAATTGGCACATGTGTACCCGTTTGGGGTTTTTTGTTGTATGTTCGGGGTAAAATTGTCACAAGTGTACCAGTTTGGGGTTTTTTGTGGTAAAAAAAAAAGTTCAGGGTAAAATTGTCACACGCATACCAGTTTAGGGTTTTTGATGGTATTAACCCTTTTTATAAATACCTCTTCACTATGCATCTATGCAAAACCTTGTATTTAAAAGGCCAGATTATCCCTCCCTGCAAAATCATCCTGCTTTCTTGCTTCGAGTTCAAGCGTTTTGGCTTTTAGTTGATAATTGAATATGTTGAGTGGGGGTATGAATTTATGACTAGGGAGTGTTAATTTTTTGAAAAATGATAGTTTCGTGAATAAGAACGCTTGTGAAGATGCAAGGTGATTTCCAAGAACAGATTTCTATTTGGTATTTTCATAAATAGATGTGTATAATTAGTCATTGAGTGAAAAGTGAAGATGCTTTTGGTATTTTTCGTTTCCGTGCCCCTTGATAACGAAAAAAAATTAACAAAAGTAACTATGCAACATTAACAAAGCTAGTAATTTGCTATTGGATTTGTCGATAGTAAAATTTTTATTTCATTGATAACAGACAAACAATTACATGCCCCTTTTAAAATATAAAGTAAGTAGTAATCTACTATTGAAGGCAATATTTCATTGGTAACTTACAAATAGTTGACCAGACTGACAAATTGCCGGTCGCCTTTTACGACCCTTTTATTTACCATCAATTTCCAAATTTACTGTCGACATTATATATTTACCATCCACAGAACAAACTGATTCAATTTTAGAAATCCGCCAAATCATTTTTGGACTCAATGCCAAAGTGCTTGAAACATCCTGCAACTGTGTTAGTCCATCCAAGTATATCCCCGTTACATGCTTCCTGCAATCGCCCTATAAACATTCGGAAATCGTTATTGATGGTCTCCGCTTTGCAACAAGAGACGGAGAGTGACAAATGACAATGGACTGACCAACAGAGCTGGTTACAGGTTCAGAGATGCAGAATACAATGTACAGCAGTATTATTCAACATGGAGAAAGCAAAATCTACACTTCATACATGTCCGGGATGAACAGAAGGATAGGCCCTTCTTCCATCAACTAAAGAGACCTTGTTACACAGCATCAAGAAGAAAAAAAATCTAACAGAAGTTGGGAATATGACTCAAAGAAATCACGACCGAGGCCGCAAGGTGCGGCGCGCTTGCTTTTCGAGGTTTGACAAAACGGCACTTCTGTCCTGTTGAAGGCCCTTCGGTTCCTGTCTAACCATGGCATCCACATAATGCAATGCTGTTGATCACTGATTTGTAAGGTGTACCATCTTGGCTTATCTTCACCAGTGCCCTTGAACTTAAACTCATATGTCATCCTGAAGAATGTTCAAAACTGAACTCCCTTCCAATCCGATCCCGGAGTAATCTGAAGAAATGTTGATTCTGAATCATCAATTCATTATTTACTAGGAACATGAGCACCTATCTAATGTTCCAGCAAACAGATATGTTGAAGTACCACAATTTCCTTGATCGAGTTACCATTGATCAAAGTACCGACAAATCTATATGACACTAATAGCAAGCAATAGATCATTCAATCATGGGTAATTGGTTTGACATTTAACTAGTAGCATGCTGGCATATGAAGAATTTCGTACTCACACGAAAATTACTCATGTATTTACATATCACAGGCATGTTTTTGCTTTTAGTTTCATGGAAATCTTCATCGGAGCATGATGCTACATCATGCAATGGGGTGTGAGCATAAAAATATACGAACAGGGATGTTCTCAAATGTCAACTTAACACTACAATATGTTGTGTTACTAACAAACTGAACTGTCTTTCAGTAACTTATCCGTTTTTCATGTTTCCTCTTACAGGTTTTATTTAACACACAGTTGACGTGTCTGATTCTATAATGAAAATTTAATTTCTCCAAAAATTCCTCAATAACAAACAATTCTGGAAACCCAGTACTTTCAATGAAACCTCAAAATGACAAACTTAAGACAATTTGGATATGCTTGCTTACTCACATGAGCAGTGCAATATTACATCTTATTGCATCCGAAAGATAAGATAAAATTTTCAAACTTCGTTAGAACACAGGCATAGATTGCATGAAATAAGAAAAGTTTACTTCGTGCAATTGATTTTCTCAAGATTACTCCAGTCCAATCCGGCATGACTATAACACAGTCCTGAAATTTGGGGCATCAGGTTTCTCCTAGAACATTGAAGCCACAAACAAATAAAAGCACTAGCATGTAGATTCTTATGCCACAAAAATTTACCAAGTCCTGCTTGGTGAATCCATCAACTTGCAGATCTAAGTTTCTCGCAGATAGTTTTTGCTACCAACAGAAAAAGAACTGCTACAGTTGGTTCATGCTGATGGCTTATAGATCAATGAGGAATCATAAAGTGCATTAAACCGGGTACTTCAATGCCAACCACATTTTCACAGTCCATGTGATAACTATTTTTCTTGAATCTTCTTTACCCCAGAAGAAGCACAGATTAAGTAGAGTATGACAATGGGAAAGAGAAATGTCGCCGCAAGAAAACAGGAAAAAAGAAATGAAGAAAAACAACAAAATGAAATATTCACCTTGGAGACACTGTGGCAAATAATAAGGTCTACCAATTGTAGATGCAGAGAAAAAGTGTATTGCTTACCTTGGAGAAAGAAATAAACTCCACCCTCTTTCAATTGGAAATAGAGAGCATCCTTGCAGCTTGCTGTTAAGATCACAAGATGTATCGAGCACCACATTGATATTGGTATGGACAATCACAGCACCTCAAGCAGCAACTTTTATAGTGCCTCTCACAGGGCTAATCCTGATTATTGCAAATATCCTTAAATTCCAGACTTACGCACTTTGATAGGTCTGGCGACCTGTCAAGAGAATGGCATTCAGACATAGAAAACCTTCTCAATTGTGATGCTTGTTCGAGAGCATCAAGGTTCTTCATGTTGCAGCCAGATATCTTCAATATTTGCAGGAGCCTCAGGTTCCCAAGACCAAGAATTTCCGATGCATTGCAGTTATGGAGCTCCAATTCGGATAGAATTTCCAGATTAGAGAAATTCATCCCCTGGATCTGGCATTTCTTGAGAAGCAGTTTTGATAAGCTTGAGGGAAGTTGTGGGAAGTCTTGCAGGTTTATGCAGGACAAATCAAGTTTTTTAAGTCGAGTAAGAGCATTAAAATCTTCTGGTAGACTAGTAACATTTGGAAGGCACAGCTTTAGGGTTTCTAAGTTGGATAAACTTGATATCCAGCCAAAGCTTTCCGTTTGGGACAGCTCAAAGGAAGATATCTCCTCCTCATCAGGATCATTAACTAATTCCAGAACTTTCAAATCTCTCAAATATGAAAAATCCTGAACTATCCTCATGTTTTTGGTTCCCCAGAGCAAACTCACTAAACTAGAAGGTAATCTTGGTAGAGTCTGAAGTTCGTCGCAGTCGAGCAAGTGGAGAGTCTGGAGATGAGAAAGCTGACAAATACTTTCAGGTAGGCTACAAATCAGGGTAAATGATAACTCCAAGATTCTCAAAGACGATAACCCCGAAATATCACACAGAATTTTCCCATTCAAACTCCGGCAGTCAGAAAACGTTATGACTTGCAACTTCCCTAGATTTGTAATATCTTTAGGGAATTTACTTATGTGAGTATTCTCCATTCTCAGCATCTCCAATCCATCCAAATATTTTATGGATTCTGGCAATTTCTTAATTCTGGTGTTTGACAGATCCATTATCTGAAGTGACTTAAGCATCCCAATGGAATCTGGAAGTGTAGTTATCCGCCGACAGTCTCTTAAAGACAGCTCTACAAGTCCCTCCAACAACTTAACAGAATTTGGGAGTCCTGGGACAATGGCTTCACCCAATGCAAGATACGACAGAGTCCGTAAAGAACCAATAGACTCGGATATTTCAGCCAAATTTTTGCAGCTGGAAGCACTAAGGGTTTTAAGTTGCTGCATAGAACCTTTTAAGAAACAAAGGTGACGTATGGAAGTTTTATCAATCAAAAGCTCTTCCAAATTATCCAAGGAACCCATCTCTTCTGGGAGCAGAGCAATGGGAGTGGACTTGATGTTCAAAGACTTCAAATGTTTCAAATTGCCAATGGATTTGTCAATAAGCGATAAATGAGTGCATTGTTCAAGAATCAGTCTTTCTAATTTGCTATCAGCTGGGAAGCATGGCGTTTTACATAATTGACCACAACCGGTTAGCTCCAAAACTTTCAATTTGTTTGCCTTCTGTGTAAGAAAAAGACAAAAAAAGGTTTCAGATCTATTAGCTAGTCTTCACAAAAAGTCAAAAAAGGAACGTGTCCGATACCTTCATTATTTGTTTCCAACCTTCCCAGTCATCTGCCACCGCGCTCCAGGATAGATCAAGAATGACCAAATTCTCTACACACAATACAAGAGGCTCGGAGTTCTTACAGCAGCCTCGCCAATCAAGCCATCTTAATTTTAAAAGAAGACTAGTAAAATTTCCTCTCATATTGGCTCGATCCAATTTAAGAAACCTTAAGTTCGATAGCGGGCCAGATTCGTCATATGTGAAACAGTCATTGGATTCTTTGTCAAAGGTGAGAGCAAGGGCTTGAACATTTGGAGCACCCTAGCAGTTTGAACATAAAGGTAATGAATAGGAATTTGAACTTTGTCACAGAACTGTTTGTGCTTTCTACAGTTCTTCTACAAATCAAAATTTAAAAGGGAATCGGGTAACTTACAAAGAAAATTAACTGCAGGTAAAAAAAGAAAATAGTTCTGGCTTTCAGGTTTACCTCTTTCATTGATAGGATGGATACGGCTTCATCGCGCACCCACAACCTACTTCGGTTACGAGGGATAGGATCTTCATCTAACACAATTTTTCTGCCTAGAGTTCTCAGTAGATCATGCATCAATAGCTCGTTGTTTTCTCCAATTTTCACCAAAGACATGACAAGGAGAGCTTCAATCCCACTATTAGGATAAAGTGTACAGTCTTCCCACATGTAAAAGGCAATTCTCCCATCCTTTCCAACCAAAAAACATGCTATATCCAGAAATATTTGCTTTGCATATATATCTAAAGCATCGTAACTTATCTTCAACACAGGTTCAACTTTCTCATTAGGAGCGTCTTTCAATTTTTGCAACGTATCAATCCATGTACCCACCGATCTTCGAAACAAACTTGAACCTGTCACCTCAAGTGCTAAAGGAAGTCGCCCAGTAGCTGATACAATGTCCCGAGAAATGCTTTCAAAGCCCTTGCTATGAGAATTACTTTGAAAAGCCATCTTCGAAAAAAGTTGAAGAGCTTTATCTTCTTCCATTGGTTCAACCTCATAAGTTTCAGCCTCTTTGAACTTCAAAAGGATGTCGCTCTTTCTAGAAGTCACAATAATCCTGCTTCCAGGACCAAACCAACTAAGCTCCCCAACAACCGCATCAAGTTGGTCCACATCTTCCACGTCATCGAGGAGAATGAGGACCTGCTTATTACGAAATCCGTTAGCAAGAACTTCCATAGCATCATCAGAACATCTGAACTTTGCACTTTTTTTTCGGAGGTCTGAAATTAATTGAGTTTGCAAGGACAAGATATCATGTTGATGTAATTCTCGAATTTTCTGAAGATAACTATAACCTTGAAAGCGATCATAAAGTTGATTGTAAACAACTTTTGCAAGTGTAGTCTTGCCAACCCCCCCAATACCATATATTCCAATGACTCGAACATTGCCGCCACATATTTCAATTACTTGTCCATTGCGATGCACAACACCAAGCTTTCTCATAATCTCTTGCACGTGATGGTCAACTCCGACTAAACATTTTGTCACAAATAGTCGACCCTTCTTCAGCTTTTGGTAAACAATTGGGATGAGTTCGTCTATGAGCTTGGAATGATGCCTACAGAAATCAAATTATGAGAAAGTGAATCAGAACAATAGTCATACAGCAGAGCAAAGCAGAATGTGCAGAGTTGAACCAGGAGCAATGCACCATGAGGCAAGAACAAAGGAGGCATTTAAATGCACTTCCAAAGATCCTGCATTTCAATGGTCTAACTTGGTCTGAAAGCAAACGGTTAAGTGGAGTTGCGAAACATAAAAGCTTGAAAAAGAAGAATAATGTCAGGGATAGCATGATTGGTTTACGATCTGGCACATCAATTTTAAATCGAATTGGATTACCCATTATGTATTTTTGCCGTTTCAAATCCCTTTAACCTTCCAATCTCTTTGAGAGCCAACTTCCACTTCTTGATGGTCTCGCTATCAACCCCATTCCTCCTGTGTTCGAGAAAGCTCTTCTCGAAAGAATTTTTTTGGTCTTTCACATCTGAGGGCTCGATCTCATAGAAAATGGGAATGATTTCTCGACTCATCGTTTTCTTGCATTCTAATATTTGGACCAACTCCATGAGGCAGCTTTCGCTGGAAGCATAATCCCTGAGATGATGGCAATCAAAACCTTCGACTGTTTGATCGCTTCAATCAATGCGGGCTTGATCTCTTCTCCGACAGACAGCTCATCATCGTCTCGATATACGTGTATTCCAGCATGCGTCAAGCTATCGTAGAGGATATCTGTAAAACCCTTGCGAGTATCTGGTCCTCTAAAACTCAAGAACACATCATAGTCGTTTCCAGCCAAGTCAGAGCTTGGTGAGGTCGACAAAGAGGGGGATTCCTGTCAAATGAGTAAATTGAGTTTATCACATTCACCGTAGAATGTTGACTACGTCTATTGTAGTCAGAAAGGAGATAATGAAACTTGGACTTGGGAAAGATTGCCTCAATTATGCATTGGAATCGAAATATATCCATGCTCTGCAAATGCTTCTCGCTAATCTAATCTAATACTGATATAGAATGATGATCCAATATACGGTGATCCTAGTTACAAGATATGAAACTTGAATCTCACATTGGAGACACGGGACTTTGATGCGGGTTTACATGCTTTTGAAGTATGGCTCTCCCAAGTTTTGTAGATAGGTATGTTTGATTTCCGAAACATTCTCTATTCTAACTTACACTCTGTATTGGCAAGAAGTAGATATGCTGTAACCATTGATGGATCAAATTTCCTAGCCAGAAGAATAAACAGAAAGAAAGAAATACAAGGGCCATTACAGGATCAAGACGCGAAGTCAATGAATCTAACCGTACTAGTCCTCCGCCTCTTCAGAGAAGCGGCGATCGCGACCGCGCCAAGAGTCGTCGCAAGCAGTATTAGAAATCGCAGCGACGAAACACTCCCGAGAAATAAGAAGAGCACGGCCAGTTTCACAGTCCTCCATTCCATCTTCTTCCTCTGCTACGCTTGGGGGAGCGGGACGAGCTTCTTTATTGATCGGAACGACCGAAACAACTTACCACCTGGATCTACGCAAAGGATTGACTCCGACTTTAGAAAAAGATTTTCACATGCTCTCCTAACAATAAAAAAAAAACAATAAAAACCAAGCGGCTCGCGTGGCTGCCCTGTTCCACCACTTTAAAAAAAGAAAAACATGGAGTGGAGTGTCTCTATCAAGACGTGAAAATTAAGCTAAACTTGCAATATTACCTCTAAAATTTTAATTTATTTAATATAATTCTTAAACTTTTCTTAGATATTCAATGTGATCATTTTTTTAATCAAATAAGGAAAAAAGTCACCACAAGTCCTTAAATTATTGTGAAATGTGCAATTTAGTTCTTAACTATATATTGAAATGTGCAATTTAGTTCCAAAACTTTCGATTTGTTCAATTTAGTCCATCAACTTTCCACCACTCGGGCACTCAAGGTACCACTCAAGGGTACCTGGGGAACTGAGTATGCGCACCGAGGTCTTGGTCCTTGATTCTCGGCTCCCAGGCACAAGCACGGCACCGATTTGGGTCCACCAAAGCCCAGCCTAAGAACTTGGTGCCAGTGCCCGATTTCCTAACGACCCGGCCCAGGTCCATTGAGGTTGGGCCCCGGCCCTTGGCGCAAGAGTCCATCAAGGCCGGACCCCGTACCCCCGGACCCGGCCTTAGAAATAATTTGATGATTATATTGAATAAATTAAAAACTTAAGCACGTTAAAACAAATTTTTTAGGCTACTATCGTCATTTCCTCTGCCGCCAGACCATTAGGTCTCTTCTGGTCAATAAATGGTAATGAGGCCTCGCATGACCCGAAGCAGTCGCTTCATACTTGCCGTATCATCGGAGAACTGAAGCTCAACAAGACCAAGCGGTTCGGCTCCACACGATTCGGCAGTGCTTTCGTCTCGGCAGGGCAAGGTAAGTTTCGCCGGACCCCTCTGTTTCCTTGCAATATTTGAGCTGTGTCATGGTCAATAGTCGCTCAGATTTGAATGAGGGTTAGAACTTACCCACAAAGAATTCGCATTCCCTTTTTTTTCCACGCCGTGGCCACCGCCGTTTCCGTTGTCTGAGGAGCCGATGATGACCGCCGGAGCTTGGTTGGCGTCGGTTGGGTGGAAGTGGCTGTCGGTCTCCGGTGGCTAGACCTTAGAGAGAGCAAAAGAGGTCTTTTCTTGTTGGAACTTTGAACTACACCGTGACGATCAATAGATGTCATGAGCTAAAAGAAAATCTTGCAATAATTAATTAAGGGAAGGGCATGATGTAAAAATTGCAATTAAATTCAGTAGAATTTGGTGTATATTTGATAAAAATTGCATCAAGCACGGAGCGGCCCCCTCGGTCCATCATTGTGCGTTCTTTTCTGTCTGTCTTAGTTGGATCTGCCGGTGGATTTGCTTTCACTTAAAACACTAAATATATCTTGCAAAATGCTGTGGGAAAAAGAAATATATTAGACATCCAGGCATAAATTATAGGGAGAGCAAATATGTTTGACGGGATTACTCAGGGTGGCAACTGGCAACGCTCGTCACTCAGTCTTTTATTTCTGCAGCCCCTGCTATATATAGTGTTCCCTTGACTCTTGCCTGGAGATCATTGCCCATCATTGCAGTGCGGACTTACTGTGTTGGACACCGAAAATTATCACAATCAAGATGAAGGCAAAAGATGATTGTGAAACTGACCATTTGGTCGGGATAGATGGTCAAGTGGAAGCCGTAATGGACTTGTTGGACTATGACTTTGGTTGTGCTCGGTTTCTTGGAATTCATGGCCCAGCCGGCATTGGAAAGACAACCCTTGCCAAGACTCTCTTCGACAAGCTCATTACCAACTTTGAACGGTATTGCTTCCTGCGAGATGTCCGTGGATCATCACGCCGCCATGGCCTAGTATTTCTGCAAAAGAAGCTGCTATTCGACGTCCTCGGTGAAATTAAGCCTATGGTTGAGATCAATCCCATTGATGATGGAATGGAGGTTATCAGGGAAAAACTCATTGATAAGAAGGTTCTAATTGTTCTGGATGATGTGGACTGTAGGGAACAGCTTGAAAAACTAATTAGCAAGATCAGTTGCTTTGGTGCAGGAAGTAGAGTCATAATTACAACAAGAAACAAAAGTATCCTAGAGAGTGGAGAGAAAATCATACTTTGTGAACTGAAAGAAATGAATTTTGATCAAGCTCTTCAGCTTTATAAAAATCACTCATTCAAAAGAGAATCTCCTAGAGACGATTATGACAGGCTTTCAAGGGATATTGTCTCTACTATTGGAGGACTTCCTTTGATTGTTAAGGTCATAGGTTCATTTCTTCATGGGCAGCACAAAACTGTATGGAAAGATACACTAGAAAAGTTAAGGAGCATTGCTCATGAAGATGTCCATTGGAAGTTAAAAATTAGCTATGATGCCTTAAAGTTCCGGCAGAAGCAGATTTTTCTTGATATTGCATGTTTTTCCTTCCATGAGGAGGAGATTAATGCATCTCACATGTGGAAAGATTGCAAATTTTTTCCACAAATAGAAATTGAAGTCCTCAGTTCTCTGTCATTGATAAATATTGGAGACAATGGCGGGTTATGGATGCATGACTTGCTAAAAGACCTAGGGCGCCAAATTGTCCATGAGGAAGACCTGGATCCGGGAAAGCGTAGCAGATTGTGGATTCTTGAGGAAGCTGTGGACATGGCAAAAAAAAAGGAGGTAATTCATTAAGAGGATAGAGATGAAGTTTCTACTTATGCGAAGAAGAGAAATTGAAAGCTTTTTCTAATTGTGTGTGTATTTGGCAGAATAAAGAAAATATCGAAGCACTTAGTCTAGCTGGAGATCCTACTCTGCTCATCTTTACTGATGAAGATTTTGCAAGGCTGCCAAATTTAAGATTCCTTGAATTAGATGGGGGGAGCTTTATCGGGGACTTTACCAATCTCTTTTCCAAGTTAAGATGGTTTTCTTGGTGCCATTGTCCTCCAGATTTAATTGCAACTAATTTGTTCCCAAAAAACTTGGTTGTCCTCCAACTCTCTGAATTCAGCGACGCCAATGATTGGGAGGGGTGGAGCCAAATTAAGGTATGTATGTTGTCATACATTTTTCTTACAGCTATATTATCTAACGACACCGTGTAATACTTTATTCTTTTCACAGATGTTACACAATTTGAAAGTTCTACAACTGACGCGTCTAAATATGGTCAGAATCAGCTTGTCTGGGTGCTTTACTCTGGAAAGATTGATCATTAAAGAATGTCGACACTTGGTTCAAATTGATCGATCCATTGGTGAACTAAAACGACTGGCTTACTTGAATATTGAGGGTTGCGACCAACTGAAAGATCTGCCTGGCGAAATTGGCCTGCTAGTGAAGCTAAAGCACTTATCGTTGAGTAACTGCTTAAAGTTAAGGGAACTCCCAGACTCAATGGGAAAGCTAAATTCGCTGACCAAGTTGGATCTATCATACACATCGATTGCAGAAATACCATATTCTGTTGGATATCTTGTGAATCTCAAGTCTTTATCTCTTGCAGGATGCAGAGAGATGAGGGAACTTCCGTATTCTACTGGAAACCTAGAGTCTCTAATTGAATTGGATCTATCATTCACATCAATTAAACAATTACCTTATCCTATTGGAAATCTAGAGACTTCGAAAGTGATAAAGGTGGAAGTTTGCCGGGCAACAGAGTTTCCTTCAGCCATTGGGTTGGTGATGAAGCTTGAAGTGATACGTCTTAGAGGATGTTCCACTATGATGGGCGAGGTTTCAAGTGAAATTGGGAAGTTCTCCTTTTTGAGAATCCTAGATCTGTCGTACACTCAAATTCGTCAAGTGCCAGAAACAATTGGTGCGCTCTGTCACCTAGAAGAACTGATCCTCAGGTATTGTAATGAGCTGCAAGTGTTGCCGTCACTTCCCGCAAGTTTGACTCATCTACTTGTTAGTTCTCTGGCGTTGCAGTCTATTCCAGATCTCTCAAACCTGACTAATCTAGTTGTTCTTCTCTTATCGGATGGCCATGACAGTCTATTGTCGCCTTCATCGAGTCTAATCAAAACCTTTAACTTAGAGTGGATTGGGAAGTTATCCAAGTTGGGAAATTTGGAACTGTGCCTTTTAAACTTTACGGTGTCACCGACTACATTGGGTTCCCTTTCTTGTTTAAGGAAACTTTACACGTCAGGCCACCCATACCCAGAATTTTTCATGCAGCCCCCTCAATCAGCAATGCAGGGAAATCTCAGCTTAATAGCAACTTCACCAGGTTTATCCCACTTGAGAAATCTAATAATTTTGAAGCTCTGTCACTCTTGGGAAGAGGAAATACAACTCGGCGGGCTAGTGCAGTTGAGACATTTAACCATCCGCATTTTTTCAGTCCTTAAAAGAATCATATTCTTGCTGTCAGGCCTAAAGAAACTAAAAGAATTGGAACTACGTGACTGCCCGATGTTGAGAGAGATTCATGGGCTTGGGGCATTGGAAACATTGGAGAACCTGAAGGTCGATTCCTGTACGTCAATTTGTAGGTTAAGTGATCTGTCGAGATTGCAGAAGTTGATGGAATTGAGAATCATAGGTTGCGATAACCTACGGGTTTGTGAAGGCCTTGACGAGTTAGGATGTTTGAGTCTCTTTAAAGTGATTTCATGCCGCTCCTTGGAATTTTGGACAAATGCATCAGACACAATGATACCGGATGAATGCCGAGTTGTAATTACAAATTGTCCGAAACTAGACAAAACTCCTTGGGGTGGTGAACCCATGTTTTACAAGGATTATAGAGATAACATTCTTGGACGGATGAAGTCCGATTCAGATATGCCCACATTCAACAGGGTGGACAAGGTGCTTTTCCTTCTTATTTTTCTTCATCATCATAAAACAAGCTTAATTCAGGAATGGATCTACAGGGGGGGGGGGGGGGGGTGTTGCAAAAACTAAAAGCCATTGGAAATAGACAACACATTTCAATTATAGTGCAATCAACTATAGAAGAGTGAAATAATAAGAAACCTCAATGCAGTGAAATACCTTATGGACTAATCGATTTGCATAACATGCTGTATTTTGATTGGTCATTAGAATAGTTATATATATGCAAAATTTTGAACCATTTGCGGGAAAAAAGAACTTAGAGATATATTGCAATTCCAATATCGATTTATGTTAAGTAACTAGAGGGAGCAGCGAATTGAAATGAAATTAATTCTATATCTTTGAAAACTAAATTTTAAACAAAACTATCACTACAAGTACATATGAAATTAATTGTTAAGAATTTTATCTCTATCTGAAAAAGCAAGTAGAATCTTAATTAAATAGGACTTTTAGATAAATTTTTTTATCTAAATATAGGTACTTCTTCTCATCTTACAGCCTTATCAGTGTGCAATCATCATGTTTCTTGTAGGTGGCCAAAACGGAAGAGAAAAGACAAGTTGCCAGTATCGCAAAACATATTGTAACTGATGATCAAGTAAACCACATCTTGAGCTTGATGAATATTAATGATAAGGACAAGCGGATCATTGTCGTCATCCACGGAGAAGGTGGGATTGGCAAGACGACTCTTGCAAAACTCGTATACAACCAAGTCTCTTGTGATTTCGATGGTTGTAGCTTCCTCACAGATATTAAAGAAACAACTCAAGTGTCAGCAGGGCTTCAGCCTTTGCAAACTAAGTTAATTTCTGATATTCTAAAAGGGGAACTTGAGGATGTAGCTTTTGTCAACAGGGGAATTGAGGCTTTCAGGGACTTATTTTGCGACATGAGAGTTTTGATTATCCTTGATGATGTGGAAAATGCGTTTAATGTCCAGAAACTCATTGGAGATTGCTTTGATTGCTTTGCTTCTGGAAGTAGGATCCTTGTAACCACCAGAAACAGTGTCGTCCTCGAAGACTCTCCTCAGATCCGGACTTATCATGTTAGTCGGTTGGATTATGATCAGGCTCTTCAACTCTTTAGGCAGCATGCATCTATACCAACTTCTTCCTCACATAGCAACTTCAGGCTTTCGTACAGTGCTCTTTATACTATGGCAGGACTCCCATTATTCATTGAAGTTATGGCTGCATTCTTCAATGGTAAAACGCGGAAGGAATGGAATAAATTAGCAAATCTGTTATTCCAGTGTAGGGATTTTCAGAGTACTTTTGAGGGAGGATTAGATTATGAGCAGAAACAGAGATTTCTGGATATTGCCTGCTTTACCACTGGCATAGATAGTCGAATTGCTTTGTATCTATGGTATGACTTCCCTTGTCTGCCTTTTAGTAAAATTTCGACTCCCCTAGCCAAAATTGGAGAAAACAATCAGATACGGATGCATGGCATGTTGCGGCGACTTGGCAGAGAAATCGTTCGTGGGGAGAATCTTACAGATCCAGGAAGGCGGAGTAGATTATTTAATCATGAAATAGCTCTTGACACGATAAAGCGGAAAAAGGTGATAGTTTGGTATGCCTTTTTTTCATTGTGATGCATAAGAAAAACTTTTGTTATGTTCACTGCTAAAGGAAAAGAACTATTTCGCGAGATACTGTAGGAATGTTTCCTGACTGGTTACGTGTCATGATGAGAGACCATCCTCACTACTTCTATTTGTTTTTCTCGTCCATCACAGGGAACAGAAAAGGTTGAGGCACTCTGCCTTAACTTTCAGTGGCATACTTCAGTCAAACTTACACCAGAAGATTTTGAGAGCATGCCAAACCTACGGTATCTTCAGTTGGATCATGCAGACATTGCTGGAGATTTCGCCAACCTTTTTCCAAAATTAAGGTGGTTCCGTTGGCGAGGGTGCCCTCGACAACTGCAAGTAACTAGTTTTCACATGGGAAACTTAACCATTCTTGACCTGTCATGGAGCAAAGTCACAAAAGACTGGGAAGGCTGGGGTCAAATCAAGGTAATTTTGAATTCGTTGCTATGGTGAAATGGCTCGGTCTAACGTAACTATTCATGAAGTGAGCTCATGCAAACTTTTCTCCTATTTTGCAGATGTTGAACTTGAGAGTTCTAGATCTTACAGGTTGTGCTGACTTAATAGTCACTCCTACGTTCTCTGGCTGCCAAAATCTAACCATATTGATTCTGGAGCAATGTTCACAATTGGTCAAGATAGATCATTCGATCGGTGATTTACAGCACTTGGTTACCCTGAATTTGAAGTACTGCACAGAGCTCAGCATGTTGCCGATAGAAGTGGGTCACCTGATAGCTCTAAAAGAGCTTCTCATGGACGGGACTTCAGTACAAGAAATTCCCATCTGCATTGGTCATTTAAAGTGGCTTGAAACTCTGAGTGCCTCGAACTGCTTCTCATTGAGTCAGCTACCGAGAACGATATGTCACCTGACGAAAATGTCACTTCTTTCCCTGGATGGCACCAATATCACAGCACTTCCCGACTCCGTTGGAAAACTGGTTAGACTTAAACACTTGTCATTGAGGGATTGCCGTCCAATAAGAAAACTTCCAAACTCCATTGGCAACATAGGGAGATCCTTAGTTGAGTTAGATGTGTCCGGGACAGGCGTTTTCAAGTTTCCAGATTCGCTAAAAAATCTGCAGAATTTGAAAGTGCTGAGAATGGATTCTTGTTTCTTTAGAGAGTTCCCTATTGATATTGGAGAGCTGACCAGCCTCGAAGAAATACACGCCTCCTGGTGTCAGAGTCTTGAGGGCGGCATTCCAAGCGAGATTGGGAAACTGCATAATCTTAGAATCTTGAGGCTGCGACATTCGACTATTTCCAGCATACCGGCGGAGATCCATCGACTTTCCAATCTTCGAACCCTTGATTTACTTCACTGCGACATGATCAAAGAGTTGCCAAGGCTTCCCTCTAGCATTATGGTTTTGCATGTAGATGAGGAGCTGAAGTCGTTGCGTCTGCCATAGCCAGGAAAGCTATGCCACTGTGATGAAGAGTAGGTTCCAAAGACCATGGAGAAATGACAGGCTTTCCATTTACTTCATGCTTCTATTCCAAATTTGAATATGGATATCGCCAAGATTTGTTTTCTGAAGTTTCTGAAGTCATTTCATCTGAAAACAAGGAACGTTATTTGTGTGTATACTTGTATGTATACATGCCTCTCTTTATGTTTCCTTAATGACCCACGCAAAAATTCCTAATGCAGCATCACTTTGGACCCATCTCATTGGTAACTCCGGAGCCCGGGTGTCTAGTGACTTTGATAGCACACGGTTTCCATCGTAGTCTTAGAAGATTGGTACAGATTCTGCTACACCTTATCATATCATAAATAGAAATTAGACATGTATATACATCTCCAATTGAATTTTTTGTCTTTCTAGAGTCTGGGAATGGAACAAATTAATTCTTCCTCGTACAAATCGGTTGACCTTTTCTCCCAAATTTTACGAATGAAAGTTGTTCTTGAACATAATTTTGATATTAATTTACTGGAAGAAAAAATTATTCAGAAAAAAGCAAGTTTCCTAAATTTTGAATGTCATTTTGTATCCCGCGAAGGGAATACTCAAGTTGAAAAAACCACCCAATCGTTTGAATCCTTGTTGTGGCATGTTCGCGAGCCACTTCATCCTATCTTTACATCCACCCTCTACATGCTCACCACCCAGGGCTAAGGTTTTGACGGTTAAAGATATGCAATTTTAAGGCTTCACAAGCCACGATCCACCTGCCGACCTAACCTCAGTCCAGCTAATAACATTTCTTACGGGATGGAAGTTGTCGGGTTTCACGGTATGTTGGACAGCAATCTATCACTCGAACATTATGAGTTTCACGCACGACTTCCATACTGGCTGACCTAACCTCAAGCCCATCAAGTCATTATGACTGGACTGAGGTTAGGTCAGTCACGCCCATCAAGCCCATCATGGCTGATCCAAGTCCTAAACCCAATATCTTTCACTCGAACATTATGAGTTTCACGCACGACTTCCATACTTGCATGTTCAACATAGATATAAAGTTTATCATTAGCGACAATCTCTTGAACGTATCAATTTGATCGTGCGAACACCGAGTACATTTGCATTAAATTTACCATGCATTGGTTAAGGTTTCATAGAAGCCGCAACAAATAATCCGGCCATGACCTAGATTTAATTCATTACACAAGCAAAACACCTTTAATCACTCGGAAAAACATGCTTGACTCTATTATATATTCACAATCAGATCATAAAAAGTTCAAATTGATTATAAAAGCCATGATCACATATTGGAGTGTTGTACGAAAAACACTTGTTGCAGTGACGTCCATAACAGCTCGTAGGATAGGAACTCATCATATCTTCACTTGAACACATATATATCAGGATGAGAGAATTTTTTAAGGAACAACTCCATAGTATTTGTAATATTTGGACTTTTGAAAAAAAAAGAAAAAGAAAATAAAATGGGTTGAAAAGTCAAATGAAGAGAACACTGCACATTCGTTCAAATAAAAGTAAAAGGGAGCGCACGCAGAGGGCAGCGGGAGAGGAAAAAGTATTAAGTGGTTAGGTACTGCCACGTCATAGGATGACGTGGCATATACTTTTGTACTGAAAATTAATAAAAAGTCGACATGTATTCATGACGTGGCAAGTAAATAAAAAAAATCAAAATTAAGATTTTGTTTTTTCTCTCTCATCTTCCTCCTCCGTCTACCGCTATTTCCTTCATTTGGTCGCCGGCGGAGTCACCGGCGCTGCGTCAAAGCCGACCATTACTGCTCGTCCGACGAGCCATCGTCGCTCGCGGCCTTCCATCCACAGCGCACTGCCCCGTCCACCGTATGAAACTTCCTTTGTTTTTCTTTTTTTATTCGGAATGAAGCTTCAGTGGGTATGAAACTTTTTGGTTTTCTTGACGAGCCATGGCCTCAAATTTGGAGTTCGTCTTGGAGATGGACCATCAGCCTTCCTCTGTTTTCCTTTTTTGGTTCGGAATGAAGCTTCCTCAGTGGGTATGATGAAACTTTTGGGTTTTCTCGGAGATGGACCATCAGCCTTCCTCCGTTTTTTCGTCCTGGAGATGGACCATCAGCGAGTTCCTCCAGATCCGGAGATGGAGCTCTTCGTTGGGAAGATCGAGCCCAGCGACTAGTTCCACGAGGCCAGATCTGGATCGACAAGCAAGAAGATGGAGCTAGGACAGGGCGGTGCTCTGTCGATGGAAGGCCGTGAGCGACTGGGCGAGCGACGACGGCTTGTTCGGTCGGCTTTGACATAGCTCCGGCGAATCCGCCGGTGACAGTGGAGGAGATGTCCGTAGACGGAGGAGGAAGATGAGAGAGAAAAAATAGAAGCTTAGCTTTGATTTTTTTTATTTACTTGCCACGTCACGAACACGTGTCAATTTTTTATTAACTTTAAGTATAAAAGTATATGCCACGTCAGCCTATGACGTGGCAGTACCTAACCACTGAATACTTTCTTGCGGGAGAGAGAAGATAAAAAAGAACGAAGAAGAGAAAAGGGAAAGAAAAGGAAAAGAGAAAGAAGAGTTTATCCACACGCCATGGAAATTTTGCCGAACCAGATTTACTCAGTATCGCAATGCTCGGTAAGTGCTCTTGCCTCTTGTTCGTCCAATCGGAGTATTTTTCGAAATTAGAGCATCATTTCGGAGTTTTGTGAAAATCAAGCCTCGTAGTCCTATTTTTGAGTTGTTGAGCTTTGTATATATATAGAAATGATAGTTTGGGGGTGTTGTAGGTCCGTAGGATTTTACGGATCTCAATTTGGATTTACGGTTTGCCCGAAACGAATTTTTGAAGTTGAGCGCGCTCGGTGAACAGTGCACGACCAGCAGTTTTTAGACTTATTTTTGTCAGTTTTCGGCTCGATTTTGCATCAGTCAAGCTAGGGGTCTTGTAGTTCTCTGATTGGACTTTCTTTTGACTGTAAGTTTACTTGGAACGGGGTTTGGTGAAGAGAGTTATAGTGCGATCGAATTTCGCGCTCAAGCTCCACATTATGGATAACTTTGAATATCCATTTCGGTTAAGAGTTTTGTTAGCGCGTATGAGTCGATTTTTTTACGATTAAGTATGGTTTAGCCGATTCATAGTTAAGGTAGCGTTTTGCTCGATTTTGACGTTGTTTCTTGCTCATTTGATATGATCACAAGTTCAGTGGTTCGAGTAACGTTTGTTGTTTGGTTTTGGATATTCCCAGGTGAGTAGTGCTAATATCTTCATTGGTTTTGTAAAACCTAAGTCATGAAGTAGTAATAATTCAATATATATGTATGGAACTAAGATAAGCATATTTGCTGCATTAAGCTGGATTGAGTGTATACTACTTTTTGAGTAATGGTGAAATGGTTTGATAAACCTTTCTTGAAAGGTTACACATACTACTTTGTGAATCTGATTTAGGAGATAACTCTTGAACGATTATATGTTTTGGGTTTGTGAAATCAATTGTGATATGAACCGATAAAGGATTAAGTGTTATACGATAACGTAAATTCGTGGGAGCCACCTCTAGGGCTTTGTATAGTTGATATATATTGATCAAGAACTAAGTGCTACACGATAACGTAAATTTGTGGGAGCCACCTTTAGGGCCTTGTAGCCAAGGACTAAGTGCTACACAGTGACTCGGGTCACGTGAGAGTCACCTCTAGAGCCTTGTACTATTAATATGTGTAGTAAAAGGCTAAGTGCTACACGGTGATACAAGTTTTGTGAGAGCCACCTCTAGAGCCTTGTACTATTAATATGCGTTGGTCAAGGACTAAGTGCTATACAATAACGTAAATTCGTGGGAGCCACCTCTAGAGCCTTGAGTTGAATATTGAGCATGGAATGGACCATTGACATGTGATTTGACGAGTTTGATTATTAAACTGGACTAGTAATACTAGTTTTGATATTATGGATAAATGAGTATTCATGCTATGAATATAGTTATATGGTAGTGGTATATAACTCATTTTACTCTTGTAAGTTTGTTATATTATGATTGGTATAAATGAATTATGTCCTAGTGTATCGTGGAAGCTCGACATGCTTAGACGATACGCATTAGTTACTGAACTGTGGTTACTCATCCCTCTCTTTTCCCAATCTTTTCAAGTTCTTTGGTTAGTAGTCAATAGAGCGAGAACGATATCGTGGGGACTTTTGGAAATTTGTTTTTTGGTTGTGGTTTTAGGTTGCGTCCTTCGGGTGGAAGGATGGCCATGTCATCCCCTGTTCTGGTATGTTTCGAGGTGTGATAGTATTTTTCGCCAATCAAGTGGAACGAAAAAATAGATGTTTTCAAGATTTTATTGGATGGGAGTGGCAATTTTATGAGGACCCTTTGGTAGTGATGTCCAAGGTATGCTGAGTTTAGACGAAACCTGCAATTTGGGCCTCCGAAGAAGAAGACATCTTGCACGAGGCTAAAGCATTCGCCATTGAGCATCTCGAAAAGCGACATCAGCTAAGAACTTCAAGACCAAAAGTAATCATGAATTGGAACTGCCTCTGCACCATAGAATACCATTACTAGAGCTCGGTGGTCCACCGAAGCTCATAGCGGACGCAGATATGCAAGTCATCGAATCAATGAATTTGCCACAATGAACTTCAACACATTGTGGTCAATCCTCCAAAGAGAACTCCAGGAAATATCAAGGTTAGTCTGCAAACTCTTGAGAATAAATAGTACAAGTGATGATGGAATTGATGGACTAAAGGAAATTAGACTTTAGAAAGCTTGAATATATAGATTCCAAAAAATTGCAATGCAAATGTGCGGTCAATTATTGCAGATAGTGGAATAATTTTAGCCTCGCAAACGAGTTGAACTTTGTGAGAGACAGACTAATGGAGTGCTTTTTTTTTGGGTGGTCGGAAGGGTCGACGAGCCTCAGCTCAGTTAACTGTCGGAAAGGGCTGTTCGTAAAATTCTGCACGTGTCAACGAACGTGTTGAACAAGTAATACAATGATGAGAAGAGTATCGTCCCACAGAGATTGA